ACTGTGCACCTTACCTCCCTTTTTTTTACTATTACTTTATGTCCTATGTTTATATTTACACTGTTTTTGCACTGCTATTGGAGTTGGCTTTTAATCTCATTGTACATGTGTATAGTGACAATACAGGCATTCTATTCTATTCTAATCTGAGATCTCTAGTTAATGTACTGTGTCACATAAACATACAGCACACGCATATTATCTGATCTGCCTCCTTTATCATTAAGGTCTTCATTTTAAGCAACTATAAATGCTCGGTGATGGTCAAGGAAAGATCATGCTCATGGTCAAGGTTAAGGAAACTTTTTGCCATCATGGTTATAAGAAACCAGTGTCTACTGATGGACACCTGGTGTCTCGTGTCAAAGTCACATGTTCGGTTACCCAGATCATCCTAAGACTAAGACTAAGTCATTTATTAGCAAAAACCTAAACAGAGGTTGCTGTAAGAGTTTGAATAAATGACCAATGCTGTTGTTTTTATAGTCTTTGTAGACTTCCTTGCAAGTAAAACCAACTCTTGAATCCAGTTATTTCCCTAGGTCCACCTGTAAATTCTCAGCGGTACAATGAGTCAGAGTTATACGGGGGGGAAAAAAAGCTTTAGTTTCTATTTGCCCAATTTATCTTCCTGCTTTGTACCAGCCGAAAACTAACTGCTGTGTTTTATCCCACGTTTTAATAATACATGCACTAAACGGGGATAACGTGTGTCATATACATAAAATCACAATTGTTACATAAAAATTAAGCGGAAATCTTACACATACCTGTTTCTTGTGACCAGAATTACATTCAGTCTCGTCACTAGAGGGTATCTGAGTCTCTCTATCTCAGTCCTATACTGCCAGCAGACATAAAATAACACAATGTAGAAGGATTATATCAAATCATTTTAATAGGGACTCTTAAGTAATAAAAGCAATAGTTAATCTCATAAGCATTCATGTTGTAATATACACCTATGTGTTGTGTGAGATTACCTGGGTATAGCAAATGTGAATACAGTATAATGTATTTATTCCATAATATACTTTAGTCTAACTCTCAATTTATTATCTTTATGTGCTGTCATTGAGATAGTAGGTCTATAAGTATGGTGAGCTTCTGAACTTAGCAACTGAGTGGTCACTGACGAAAGGGCAGGTTGTAAATGAGAGGAATCTATTTGGGTCATAACTCCAGGGTTTATTTTAAATCTAATACGCTGTGAGTATAGAGCCAAAACAAAGAAGAGGGTATCAGTGTTCTTACCTCACCGTGGGTAAATCATTGTCCCGGCACATGAGCTTTGTTGTCGAGCTGTGTTGATTTCGCTTTCGTGACCAGATTACATAAAAAGGACTTTAATCTGAAATAAAACAGGATGCAGGTATCTGGCCAACAATCTGTGTCTGACCTTTCTATTGTTGCTTCAATGGGGCAACACTTCTTATGCATGCATTTATACGTTCTATGGTGATTTTATACGTTACAGTTTTGTAGTAAACATACTGGTGCCAAGATCACGTTTTCTTTTTATCAGAGTAGTGTGAAACTGTTCAAACTAGTACATAAAAGTATCTTTAAAACCTACACTAATAATATAATCCGCATTTCCCCCAAAATCCCGGTAACTTAACTGTAATTAATCTCCATTAAACGGCCAAAAGGTTTGGGGAATTCCATTGGGTGTTATCTCACAGTGTGTGACTTGTTGCTGTCATGGAGTAGCCATCAAAGTATTATGCTTAATCATTAATACACCTTTGATGCCACTAGACTCTCCTTATTGTGATCACAACATTTTAATAAATGGCTTCAGTTGCATACTTCATATTGAAAAGGTGTTTTTGTAATGTGTGTATGAGAAATGCTATAAAGTGAAACAGAAAACAGACAAAAGCAGCGTTATATTTTTTTGCAAAACACAGAGAATTGAGAATAATCAATATTATATACAGTGTATGCCTACATTCAGCTGTCTTGTTGATCAGCTTTTAGCTCAGATAGCTTTCAAAGGTTTCAACTGCAGGTTCAGCTGGTGCAAGTTTAATTCAACTGCAGTTTTCTTTAGTTTTGTGTCTCTTTGTTTTTGGTGATTCATGCCAAATGTGTTTTTCTTCTCATGAAATATTTTACATCAACGTGATTTCACACAGGAAGTCACTACCACACTTTTTCACAAGCTCATAGTTGAACATTTTATTTCAAAAATAAAAATCAAATTCTCCCACCAGGTATGAGTGAGATTGTCAATTGAATGTAATTAGATAGCAGCACTTATATTTCACTCATTGCCTCAACTCTTTAACATTTGATAAAAAGCTTCCCCATCACACCCAGAACCTTTTCAATTAAAGATACAAAGGTGCATTGTCATATTGTAATAATGTATCAATGACATTTATATAAAAAAAGTCAAACTGGCCCACAGTTACAAGAAAAATTACAATTTCCAATATACAGTATAACAGAACTTAGAGAATTAGTTCATTAACAAAGACAGTACTGAACTCTATAAAAATATATTTTATAGCAGGTTATTGTTAGTCTTGTTTAGTTCACACATCTTCACCAACATGCTCCACAGGTTGTCTGTGAATTGTTGCTGCACTCCTCGAGCTGAGCTCTGCAGAGACAGACAGAGGTCAGGCAGTCAACAAACAAACGCGTGAGGACAGAAACATGTGATCATTCATACAAACACGCTGTACTCACTCAGACACGTCGTTGCAGTAATATTGAATTCCTTTGTCCAGCTTTCTCTGTAAAATGTTTAGAGACTCATTTGTGCAGTTTGCCCTGAAGAGGAGGCAGAAAACATGACTTTAGGAAGAACATACAGGTCATTAATGCACTAATCACATTCAAAATGAATAATGTGTGTATCATGCATATAAGGAGAACAGCTTACACAGGGTTCTTCTGTGTGACCATTACAATATTCAGGCTTTCCATCCTGGTGGAGTTGAACCTCAGCAACTCGATGCTCCCAAAAATACTGACAGCCGAAAAAAAAGGGAACATTTATATTTCTAAAGTTCACAAGTTACAGTGACATGTACAAACCTGCAGTATAATATATCAAGTAATATAACAGGATGTGATAGAACACAGACTTAGAGATGTTTCTCATACCTCATTTCCACAATATGACTTTTTATTTTATTCACAGACTAAGTTACTTGAGGTAAAATCCCCACATACAGCCACCACTAAGTCTTAACTAACACTGCACGCTCATTTCAGTTTGTCCATGTTTGGATTCTGCAGTGCACAAACCTCTGCTGTAAACTGCTCATTAGGTGCTAATTAAAAGATTATTTTCTTGCTGAAGAGCACCGTAATATTCTTTTCCACTCACATACATCAAAGGGAAGTTGGTCAGAGAGCTAAACCCCAAAGAAATCTGTACACGTCTAACATGAGAAACATGACTAAAGGCTGATTTGATACAAGATTGTTGTTCACTCACTTAGTAAAAGATCAGATACTATAAACATTATGAGGCTACACCTGAAACTATTAGTATGTCTTTAGCTTCTGTGCTGTGTGATCTGTTTGGTTGCATGAAATAACATCAGAAAAGGGATATTTCTTCAACGAGAGCAACTTACCTTTGAGAACTGAATGGGGTTTCGATGGATCCATTTAGCATTGCTGTGACATTGCCACAGGCAGCATCTGCAAACTAAAGACAAGGAGCTGCACTGTAGATTTAGACTTCTATAACTTTGTGGGACTACAGTGTTCTCAGAATGAATGCTTATCGGCTGCTGAAAATCTTGTTTTTAACTAACAGGGACGTGCACTGACATTCTGGGGAGCGGGGGGTCAAGATAAAAAGGGGCACCCACCCCACCAACAAATTCTCTACTCCCCACTCGATGTTGCCACACTGCCAAATGACACATAACATGTCCACGTGTCTATGCACAATAACGGTGCAACTGTATCTACAGATAGCTGTAGAAATGTCACCATAAGATAAGGCTGTCATTCATCCTACAGAGAGCTGCAGAGGTCAGCGAGGTAAGCCCTTCATCTAACCCGGAACAGACTTCAGTTCAAATATTACTTTTTATATGTTCCTGTCGTTAACCACATCTGGATGAAACTAGCAAGCACAACATTCAAGAAGATGATTCATGTGACCGGAGAGTTGTGTGTCTGTGTGACAAACTTATTTGGTGGAAAAATGTCAAATATATATTTTAAATAAAACGTTAACAGATCACGCAGCTGTTTGACAGATATGAAATGTGCATTTATTTGTAGAATTAATGATCTAAGCAATGGTAAAAATATCACTTATAGCCACTTTAGACTGCTGCACAGCTTGCTGAGGAGAAAATAAAAGTCTTTCTAAATTTCAAACTTGTCAACTTCAGACCTTTTAAGGTGATGTAAGGTTAGATTTGTCAACCTATCACACCACCTGTAGCTGTGAATCTGTGTGTTATTTTAACGTTTAGTGTTTTTATCCTGTGTCAATTTGCTTCCTTTTTTTTGGTTTTACTTTACATGCTATTCATGGTTTGCTTTATTCTGCTCATCTTGTGTTTGTGCATCTGCACCCAGCCAAACCGAAGCAGGGCTCCCCTCTGAATGTGTGGGTTGCCACTGCTCGCTCAGGAGAGAGCTACGCAATGTGGCTCCATGGAGACCAGCACAAAGCCTCATTGATGAAGAACCCGGCCGAGTGACCTTTCTTCTCCTCCTCTCCGTCATAATCACTAATATTCAGGAGAGATTTCACCTTATGCTCCACATATTTGTTATTTTAACCACTGCTTGATCCCAGGACTGTTGTATTTTTTGGCAAAACTAGTGAATTCTAGTTTTTCCACTTACAGCAGCTGAGACTCTGTTCCAAAATGAGCGAACAGGGTTGTTCACACAGTCTCTCCATCCTGGGCAGTCGGTAGTGAATGTTTCTAGAACGACACACACACACATTTCAGTGTCATTTGCTCCGGTGAGCTGCTCACATGAAGCAAAACAGAAATCTCAGGACATCACAAACCCAAACTGAGACAGAAAACAAGTGGTAGAAATAGCTACAATGACCTTATGGATGAGAATAATAACACCTCTGATGTTTTGGGAGTTAAAGGAAAGTTCAGCATCATCCGCGAACGTGTGTTTCCCAAAGTGTCAAACTATTACTTTAAGAAAAGCCTCTGGATATTTGCTGTCAAAGAACCTGGGTGTTTGAGTACCTTTTAATCTTTTAAAAGAATGAAGGAGGTTGAAAAGATGTTTGGCAGGGAGCGAGGACTCTTGTTTCATCTTGTGTCCCTTTTTCTGTGGCCTGATGGTATTTAGCAAGCAAAGGTAGCTCCTGGACAATGATGATAAACCTCGAGCCATGCATTGTGTAGAATAACCGCAGAGGCGTGGGTGCTTACAATCCCAGCAAGATCAAATTGCATTGTACCTTCCATACATGCCAATTCTTTTTGACCTTTTTCCTTCCATGAGCCAATTTGGGAACTGCTGATAATTGCCTCTTTTTTTTTTTTTTTTAAATTGACGTGACTTGACACGCTTTGTGTAAAAGTAACTTCAGGTGTTGAAAATAACACCTCTGGCATTTGTACATCAGCAATTATGATATTGGTTCTTATTCCCTCACCATGTCTGAAGAGGCACACACACACACACACACACAAAGGGCATGTCAGGTCTGACGAACAGGTATAAAAAAAGAGAGGAAGTTGTTGCCACTGATCATTTAAAACATGCTTTTAAATTCTTTTTCGTGTCCCTTGAATCCATGTTTCTTCATCTTACCACTGCTGCCCTCCTTTCCACACCAGATCAGACCATCCGCCACCGCTCCCAACACGGTGTCCTCCAGGGTGACAAAACAATCACTTTTCGCGGTGAACTCATGGACCACATCCTTCGTTTTGCTCCAGAACATCATCTAAGCCAAACACCACATTGTCACATGTATTATTTTGCATTCTAAAAGAAGCCATGAGTGGATATGTCGAAGTGATGTTTACTCTGTTGCATGCAGGTTCGAAGGGCGTCGCGGCAACGAAAGGATCATAGGCTTCCATGGGAACGTCACAAGGGTCCCGCCCGACATAGGCTTGTTCGAATGCTTCCCACACCTTCTTACAGTCGTATCTGGAAGAATAGAACAACAGTACTGCTGAGTCTCAGGAACATGGACCCGAGTCATTCTGATGGAAAAAGCTTAGGTGCAGGGCCACATTTGTTAGCAGTTCTAATCATGTTCATTATAAAGAAACCATGTCATGGTCGAAAAACACCCCTAAAGTACAATACAGAAAACAGCACTGTCATTACAGTGTATTATGTGGATGGACACTAACAATGTGCAAACTTGCAGAAAGTGCAGAAAGGAGGCCAGCCACTTAATCATTAACTGCAGTGCCGAACAGACTCAAACTTTGACACTGAATATACTTACAGGTTTTCACTCTTTCTGGGTGGCCCAATTGTTATTACACCCCGACTTTATCAACTAACTCCTATTTATAAAATCACAACTTCTGAATTTCAGTCTGTTCCATAGAGCATGTCTGTTAACATTCACTCTGTTACCAGTTTATTAGGTGCACCTAGCCAAAGTAATGTTATCTAATATAAAACATATAAGCATATAAGCTCCCATGGAAACATGATTTGTGAAATCTTAAATATTGAAAATATGCTATGTTTGCCATGCATTTCTAGATTTTTTTGTCTTTTTATAATCATGTAACATGTCTAATATAAGGTTATTAGTGATGTGGGAATGTTATAAACTGATTATTAAGCTGACATAAAGCCAGTAGGTCTACACTATTGCAGCTATGAATGTTTCTTTGCAACTTTAGCGCAAAGAAAAACGCAAAAATGGCACATAGTGTACTTCACATTACACCATTGTTAGACTTACTGCGACCTATACTCAACATATCTTAAATTCTACTCTAAATTGAATTACTTTCAGTCTCCAAGTTGTGTGAAGAAGCAGCTTATCGTCGGCTGAGACTCATTTTATATTCCTTTACACAGACGGCTAAAAATAAAATGACTTACCCATTGAACTTCTTACACCTGTCGATAAATATTCCTTTAAATTGCAGTGTATCGTTACGGAGTACCAGTGCCACCACAACGGCGATGACAACAATGAGAACCAGGGCGCCGAGGACACCTAACACAATGTAGCGTCTCCTCCAACTCTTCTTCCGAGGTCCAGGCTCTCCCTGCTCCATTTAAAAAGCCTCACACATTAAAATGTCAGCGGAAAGTTTGGCTGTCAAACTGCTGTCACTGAGACGGCGCTCGCGCTCCGACCCCTATTTATGGAGGCGCGCAAACGCGGCGCGTGTGCGTGCTCACGCGCACTGGCTCGTGGCCATTTCAGGTCTGGTCCAATCAGGAATCGTATCTGTCACCGTGGAGCTGCCTAAACTCAGGTCCGAGGATCACAACAAGACCGTTCAGCAGTGGCGGGAAGGGACACTTGTACTCGGTCATTAACCAGAGGTGTAAGAAGAAGAACTCAGATATTTTACTAATAAAATAAATATCACTATAGTGTAAAATTACTCTGTTACAATTAAAAAGCCATGCATTCAAAATGTTACTTAAGTTAAAGTACAAAAACTTTAGCATCAATATATACTGAAACTAAAAAAAGTAAGCACTTATCATTCAGAATGGCCCATTTCAGTATGATATATAGGCCTATTGTATTAATGAATTATAACTATTGATGCATTATAGTGTACATCACTTTAATTATACAGCTGGTAAAATCTTATGGCTACCTTGTGAATAACACCAAATGATCAATAAAGCATTATCTTTAACCATAATAATAGGCTACATCATAATTCATATGTTGATCATATTTCATATTATTAATCTGAATGTCTGAATTGTACTTATTGTAAGTAAATGCACTTAATTACTTTCTACCATCTCTGTTAACATTGTATGCTACTATATATATGTCACTGTACTATTCAGATACAAAATGTACATACAGAACATGTTAATGTATCAAATATGATGATTTTTCTTATAAATGAAACTACCCAACAGTATATTAAAAATGTAAATTCTGCATAGTGAATAGATTTATTTTTAATCATCTAAATGCATTTAGTTGCAAATACAGCTTTACTTTTACTAATGCACTTGTAAAAGAACTTGTTGTTTATTGTTTCATGTAGTAAGTCAATATTTGTCTATATGTCTGCCCCCACCCATTGTACAACCCAAAAAATAACCCCACTGTGGGGGTTTTACAGTTGGCGGCTCTGAATCTTTCAGTGTATGGTAAGTAGGTCAATGATAGAATTTAAAACCAAGAAACTGTTACAGCAGCTGGGTGAAGTTCATGCAATTAAATGCTAATTGGCTACTAAAAGCTGTGAGATGGTGATGGTTGTCAAAGGTCATGGCCATCAATACCAATCAATGATGAACATGCTGAGAAATACTGAAGACATTTAAGTACAAACATGCAAGCAACATGCATCTAACTAAAGGTTATCCACTCCTGTAAACAAGTTCTCCAACTCTGTTTAATGACTTAATGATCCAATAACATTTGCCAACCCTGTCTCCTGGAAATTATGCTTGTATATTACTAGATTGTTCTAATGATCTTGTACCATAAATAAATGACATGTTTATTGATAAGTAAGCTATGGTTGCAAGTTCAAATCAAACTTCAGACTGTGGCTTTGATACTATCGGGATCTACCTGTTGTGAAACAAATAAAGGAAATAGGTCAAGCAGCATGTCGTATGGGTGTGTTAGAGCCTGAGGGTTTGCACTCATGTAAACTGAGCACATTAAACATAAACAGAATCATACTTATGTCAGACTTTTAAAACTATCACATAATATTTCATTTTTATTACAACTCTTAACTAGATTACACATTCAGTGCCTGCGGTGTTTCCTTTGTGACCTTTGGTTGGGTATGAAGCCTGGGGCAAAAATAAGCCGCTGGACTTCAATTAACCCCTGTTCATTTAACCCTCTGTGAAATGTGTACAGGTTTTTAGTGCTAGAGTTGTCCCAGATTAGCTGTGTGGTAATTTGATCAAACACACTTGTTTAGAAAAATGCATAAAACGCTGAAAAAAAGTCTTCAAATAGACTAGAGCTTCAAAATGAGCATGCTCCAGTTGATAGTAAAGTAGTAGTTTTTGGCTTTGGGTAACAGATACATTTGGCAGTCCAAAGGGCATTCTGACCTAATCTGCTAATGGACTGGGATCAGTGACAAGTACGGGGTATAAAGGAAACACTCAGCTTTAATGTAGGAACTCTTTTGAGCAGCCAGTTTTTAATGATTCTGTGTCTGATCAGAAGGTCAGCATCTTTGCTAATGGGACTTTAGATCACAGCTCCATTCATCAATCAAGTGCTACCTGTCTCTGCTGCACAGCATTCTGGGTCCTGAAATCGGTGGTTCCATGTTCTCATACTGAACGGTCTCCTTGTTGCAGGCGTCTCTCATTCCCTCCAGAAGTTTTCGCTCTTCTAGACAGGACCTGTATATAGACCTCTGACCAGGTATGTTCTCTTTCGTCCCATCTGTCGCAAACCGTGTGTCACTTGATCATGTCACAACTGTTTTCCTTGCTGTAGTTCTTGCAATGTCTCGTGTGGTAGTTCATCTCCTTCTGAACTCACTTTTCCAAGGTTAGTCCCAGTATGAGTTGTGACTGGTTGGCATGCAGTTGTACATCAGGCGGAAGACGACTGCTACTCACATAAATTGCAATGCACCCAGTCTTAATTATATCTCATTACCATTGTTATCTGATATATTCTTGCTTGATTACCAGGTTGTAAGACCGAAAAAACTGCATATTCTGCAATGCTACATAGTCATCTTAAGTGGCTCAGGAAGTAACAAGGGGGACGTGATTTTAAAGCACTGATATAACCAATTCCTGATATTGTTCATGTACCATGTTACTGGGTAAAAAACAAGAGGTAACGTGAACATGAAGTAAACAATATTCTGTTGTGTTATGTAACAGTACTGATATCCCATGTGTAGTGGGGAAAATGCATTCAGGGAATAAGGTTCTGCGAACATGAAGCAAACTAT